GAAAATTCGAATTTCCCACTAATTTTCTGGTCAATGATGATCCATAATATATTGTCACAAAATGTGGCGCTTTCCGCCAGGACAGAATTCTAGATTTTACAGTGATATACGGGAAAAAGGGGTATCGCGTTTATTCTGGATTTTACGAGAATAGATTACGGATATATAAAGGCCGGTATTAGTTAGTAGTTTTTAGTTTTAAGATTGGCTGTGATATGATTTAGATAGTGAATATTGTAAAGTTGTAAAGAGTTAAGTTGTTTGAGTGAATTAGTGGAGTAATTAGTGTCAGAGTGTAGGTACAGTAACATGGAATAAATTATTGTTGCATTAATTGGACTTTGATTTTTGGAATAAACGGACCCAAGATTTCTTTCACGCACCCCAGAGCCGTGACAATATCTCCCACATAAACTTGATTTTTGTTCAAGCGTTTCCTTGTGAATAAAATTTATAAGTCCATTTTTGTTTCAAAGAGGACGAAACACATCTCGAACTTTCTCACCCAGAGGAATCTCAAAAATTTGTCCATTACCTGAAAAATATAAATTCACAAAATAAAACAAATACATAAGAACGAAAATCCTTTATTAATTTGTTTGCTTCACTCATGATTAGCAAACTATAAACTCACTGTAAAAGACTTGCCATTGGTTTAAAAAGACCACAAACCCACACTAAACTTTTTGATTTTTTTTTTTATTATTTTTTCTAAAATCTATTATTATATAAAATTACAAAATAATGCGCTTCTAATATTACGATACAACAAAGAAAATCTTTTATACGTTGTACCCGTTAACTATAACCGCAATATACTTACATGAAAAAGAAAATAAAATAATGCCCTCAGGAAAATCTTAAGGTTTAGCATGATCTGTGTTTATCTAAATTTTTGCAAAAATAATTTTTCTCATTCTAAAATACAAGGCACTCGAGTTTGTGTGAAATTAAAAAAAAAAAAAACAATTTCATAATAAAAAATTGGAAGAAGGTTGATACATGCAAGTTAAAGTAGGACACATTTAACGTAAAAAATAAGTTACTTAGGCCTAAAGCCTTAACAAATACATTTAAGTCTAGCATTACTTTAACTTGCTCAACAACAAAATTAAAATTAATTCTTCGATTAAATCGTTGTAAAACATATAATTAAATGCAAGTTAAAGTAATTTTCGAACACATTGAAAGGAATATTAAGTTTTTACTTGGGCTATATTGCCCTTGCGATCTATAAGTATAAAATATAGGTTATTACTTTAACTCGCTTTTTTATTAAAAACACACATGCATACTTAGTTTAATACATTGTATGTAAAAACGATTGCGTGAAATTCGAACCAGCAGTGCAGTTGAAAATCGTGCATTGCGTTCTCTGTTCACCCTATGAACTATCAATTTGTGTAACAAGAGACGAAGATGAACGATTTTCAGATGTTCGGCTCAAGCCGTCATTCCGCGCGTTTTAACATAGTTCAATGGTTATATGGGTAGGTATACGAAATTTATTGGGATTTGATTCTCAATTTTTGAGGTACAAAATTGTTAGGCGAGTGAAAATAGTTACCTCGGTGCTTGAAGCAACCCCCACTAAGTATGACAAAAAAATACGTATTATTTTGAGTTCTGATAAGATGTAAAAATTCAGATTTAGCATCACAAATATATTCAAAGTCATAATTTTTGATGATTAAATTTTTATATTGAGCCTAAAAATTAATAGTTTTAGCAAGAGAGCCGAAAATAGAACAGAGTAAAGGAACAATAGAGCTATCCAACTTCAAAAATTGGCTTGTCTCTGCATAATGGGTACAATGAGAAGCACAAGGGGGCCTACAGACTCAATTGTGGCCAGAACTGGAATCCGAAACGAACATCCAACATACCAGAATAACAAACATTGTTACAAACTTACTGTTTGAGATGAGAAGTGATAACATGACCCCGAGAATAGGCACGTACAAACCGTTTTAAACCCAGATTAACTGGAAAAACAAAAGAGAAAACTCACTAGTCCCGAATGGAAAGTTAGTAGGTACATTGATGGCTCCAAAATTGACAGTGGAACTGATGCCGGAGTATATGGCTTATCCCCTAGAGCAAAATGGCTTTCTCCACTGGGGAAGCATGCCACCGTATTCCAAGCCGGAATACATGCAATAGAGATATGCCTGCGGGAAAATCTGAGAAGGGGTATGTACACGAGGATATCAAGATCTTTTCAGACAGCCAAGCAGCTATTAAAGCTCTACCAACAGATGAACTCAAAATTAGTGTGGGACTGCCTGCAACCCCTTTTACCCCTTGCCAGCCATAATAAGGTAACTCTTGCGTGGGTACCGGGACACACGGGCGTTGCCGGCAATGAAAACGTGGACAGGGCGGGGACAGTTTATGGGCCCTGAGCCCGTATTCGGTATATCAAAAACTTCGATACGTGGTTGCTTAGAAAATTGGATTCGAGAGGAACACTGGTACCAAACACGCAGAAAGGCAATTGTGAACTATCCTATTGGCCTCTGATTTGGGGAATCAGATCAGAATTGTGACAGGACTCTTAACCGGTCACTGTACACTGAGAAAACACTTACACAAGATGAGTATCTACCAAGATGAACCCATCTGAGGACGAAGAATCCCCAGATCCTTTTTGAGTGCCCAGCACTCGCTTACTGGAAAACTCGACAAGTTCTGGAGGAGGAGCCCATCGAGGAGGAGGGTTCTCTGAAGACGCCAATAAAGAGGCTACTGCACCTGGCGAAGGTGTCGAACCTATTTTAGCAGAAACTTACACAGCAAGGGATACAATAAGCTAACTAGTTGCAGTGTCAGTGAAACACCAAATCGCCTTGCTGCTGTATATCAAATCAATCAATCAAGGGGTCACTATTAACACCACAAATATATTTATTATACAAAGTTCTTCATCAAGCCTTGAATTCAAATCCAATATATTTCGTATCTTTCTTGTGTTATCAATACAAAAATCTGAATAACGTTTGAAGTAAATTTACAAAAATAACAAAGTTTAAAAAACAACAATAAAAATTTGGAAAAAAAAACTTATTATCGAACCGCCAAATAAGGAAGTTCGAAAATAAAAAATAAATTTAATTCGGACTGACTGAATAATACAGGATAAAAAAAAATTATGCTAAAAATAGATACTTAACTTAAGTTCCATTACTGCATCTTGGCAAATACCTTACAAATTAAAAACTTATATTAACATAATATAATCCGTTCAGATTTAAGGAATACCATGAAAAACGATTATAGAATTTGCGTATCCTCAAATTTGAACGATTTATATAGTTTAACAAGTGAAAACTGTGTTAAACTTATTATCAAAGCCATAATTCTTGTACAAGGACTTGGTCCTGTCAATGTCACAGTTGTCATAGTTTATTCCCAAGTTGTCATGTTACAAGGTGAGATAAGTGCGGTGATTTTTTTTTTGTCAGTCAGTCTGTTTTGAGCTATCTTAAGCTAAGAGGATGACACACCAGAGAAACCACATAAACTTGAAGATTGATTTTATCAAATAACTTAATAATATTAATTTCTGCAGTATGATACCGAGTATGTTAGTTGACTGAGTGTGTCACCACCAGCTCAAGACTCTAGGTACGTAAATCTAGAAATCAACTTTTGGATCCTAGAACACATTTACGTCCTCTTCCAGAAACGTTAGAAACGTTTCAAGGGTCGTGCAGTAACAAATACTCTTTTTTGTTGGTGAATAACGATAGTAGACGTTACTATATAAAAACTATAAAATAACAAACATAATTGAAAACAAACAATAAATAAAATTTGCGAAACTCTGATCGCGAATAAATTGGTCCATTGAAAAAAAATAGAACTGGACTTTTTGTGGTTGCAAAAACCATACTCGGAAATTTAAAAATATTTGAAGGTAAGACAAATATTTTTATCATTTTTTATATAAAATATATATATATATATATATCTATTTACATACAAATAGCAATATGCTACATCAATAAGTAAATTTTTATTATTGTAAAAAAATACTCCTGCAGAATGACGATAAGGTCATTATTAAGCGTTTGGTAATCAGAATTTTCAAAGGCTAAAAAATATTGCCACATAAACTTTTATTATACGAATTATTTAGAGCGTGGCCGGAAAAGAAAATGCAATTTTGTGAATATTTGATCCTTTCAGTCATATTGATAGTAAGTAGTGGCGTCATATGTTTTTGATTAATTTTCTAGAGAAAAAAAATATAATTTAATGTAACTTGAGAAAAAATGGCGACATATCCATAAGCCACTATCCTCCAACATAAACATGGCTTTACCCTGTTTCTAATAGCGAATATTGCTTATAAATTTAAAAAAAAATCAAATGTACAATTTTGAGTGACTGAAAAGAAGCAAAATGAGCATTCATATGGCAGTATGTATGAGAGCATTAAAACTATGGCATCGGCGAAATTCCCACATTTCTTTTCTCTCTTTGATCAACTATTTAAACGCTATGATATATTTTCTATCTATATCTATATCTCACTCTTAATATAAAAATAGTAACTATGAAAAATACTCACTATAATAATTGGCGATTTGACTGATCTTTGATACCTACTATTGAGTGTCCCAAAAATAAAACACACAGAAATTCAAGAAAAATTGTGTCACTATTAAAATCCGAAATCAAAATATAGCACCCAAAGGAAAATAAACTCGAAAATAATCCTTGAAAAACAAATAAAAAATAAAATTTTTAAAACAATCACTTCGTTCATTTTTCTTGCAAAAACTGCCTGAAATCGTGGTATGTTTAGCAAATTTGTTTGACTTACAGAATGAAATGTGTGTTAATTTTTGGGATACCTTAGAAAAATTATTTAAAATGAAACCTTTATTAATAGAATAATATGATTTTTATGAAACAGATCAAAGATCAGTTAGGTAGGTTATTTAAGTACTTGAATATACAAAAATATAATCATTTACTAGAAAATATTTTATTTATATCGGAGGATTTCCCTTGTAATGCAACTTGGGACTGAACGACCACTGATAATTGTTCATGTAATCGCAACATTGCGGCTCATACAGAAAACTCAGACAGACAAATGTCAGAAGGACAAGCTGAAAGGCCACAGAGGCCTTACGAAAACGTTTAAACCATCTATTATTTTCGGGTTCATTACCTGGATCATCGTCGCCGCCGTCAGGTTTCGCCAATTTTTCGTCGACCATTTTCTTTTTACTGAAACAATAGATAAAAATAAAACGTTAATTGTTTTCATTAAATTATTGGGAGATTCTATACATTTAAGTTTTTAGTTTGTTTTCATTTAAACAGGAGAGGAGTTGGTTCCTTCTAGGGTTCTTGCATCGGTCAATAATAATTGACCGTTCGATTTGACATAAATATATACTTAACAAGGCCCTTGACAAAAACTTGTCTACATATATGAAAAGACTAGATAAAAATACTTTCAAAAATTCAAAATCTTTCATATTGGATTATAAAATAACGGACCACCATCCAATTGTCCTGGCATTTGATGCTCTAACAAAAAATACGGAAATAAAGCATATATACGAACAAAATCATATACAGATGAGCTGAAACATAGTAGTGATTTGCAAAATGAGACATGGGCATCAGCATTTTTCTACAGGTTTTACAACAGAAAATTTCGTAAAACGCAAAAAAAATACAAGGAAAATCAAACCAATGTACTTCGAGCAAATCAATTTGATAATTATCTTAGCAGAGCGCTTTCGGCCATCCTAGGTTCAGTGCTAACTGCTGGGGAGAACAACGGTCCGTTAAAAAAATCTGTTCCGTGAAGCGATATTGAGGAAAACCACCTATTTAAAATATTATTTCTTCAAATTTTAACTTTTAAAAATCGGTTACTGAATAAATATGAATGTTGCAACCATGTATGCGCCATCAAGTTTAGGTTTGAACGGGGCGCGCCACAGAAAAACGAGAGTATCGAAGCAAAGGGTAGATAGAGAATACGCAACTAGACTACAGAAGAATCTGGGCTGGTCCGACGCGTGTCTGTAATTATTCATTATTCAATTTTCATTTTTATTTTGCAATAAACTGATTGTTCATTCCAATTTGTTATTAGTGTGTGTGTCAAGGATAGTTCACAGGTTAGTGGATTAAATGTTATTTTGTTTTTGAGAGTTCAATTTATGCAAGTTCCTATTATTTTGTTCATTTTTATGTATTTTTTGTTTGTTTATAACATTTTTTTATAACATGTGCATTGTTCATGTATTTAACAAAAATCGTTTCATACTGTAAACAACACAGATAAAGAAGTAAAATAGAACCTAAGAAATTATGTGCTGTCTTTTTGTGCTGAGATTTTGATTTTGTGTATTCAGAGCATGCATTAGAGCCTTGTTGAATTTACTAACATTTTCCTACCCTGACGAGAGAATATCCTAACGAATTGAAATAATCAATCTAGAGATATTGGCTCAAAAACAACTATAGCTGAGTAGCTTCCCGTATGGGACCTCAGTATCCGCTGGGAAACTGGCTAACTAACAAAAAAAACTCTTCAGTATTGAATATAGGTAGTGTTGATTGAATCTAGTGTGTGTAATTGAAATTTTAGCACAAGAACAAGGATGGTACGTAATTTAAACTTTTATTGACTTAAATTATTGAATTATTGACTCACAATTATTATTAAAATTACACAGTATGTTTCGATTTTTGAGGAATGTTCGATCGAGGGTTTCTCTGCCGTTCTCTTTCCCCTCGAGAATTCTAGATCGAGAACGGTACGATTTACTTTAATAATAAAGTAGACGTTTCACAAATTTTTCGTTTCTTTTACATATCACAACTTCCCTTAAATTTCCCAAATATTTGCTATGTCGGGCGCATGTCCAGTAAGTAAAATTGAGTAAGTTTTCACAACGTAGGTCCTATTTGTTTTTCATTTCATTTTTCAGAAGATTTGTTGTTTAAAAGGTAATAAAAATTCTCATCGTTCAATCTTACTGAGCGAACCCGCGTATGTTATACTACAGTATGGTTGTGACGGTTATCTATGGCAAAAGCAGCACGAACCAAATTTTGAAGGAGAATGTTGTACTCACTTGTCAGTTGAAGTGCACAGGAACCACTGAATGAACAAATATAGCAACAACCATACATTGTAACTAGTAAATTATAAAATATATGTGAAAATTGTGAAAAGTTGTAAAAAAAAAATTGTAAAAGGACTGGACTACACATTAAAAATCGCGACAGACCAGACACAATAAAGTCCCAATGCATTGAAGGAGAGAAAGGGTTAAAGGCATTACCCTAAAATAGGCAATTATTGCTAGCAAATTAGAAACCTAGTGTCAAGCAAGCTCACATTTTGTCTTTCGTTCAACTTTCAAAGTCCCACTGACGCTGACGTCATCTTTACAAAATTCCTTAGGTCATTGTGGTGGTCACTATCCTTGTTCAAGAAGTGTGGTTATGATGTGATAATGACACTCCATCCGGTGGTAACAATAGTTGTATTCCTTTCACACCTAGGAGGAGCTCCGGAACAGCTCCGGGGCGGTACGCGCTTATTCCTTTGGAAAAGTGTTTGTTGCACCTGAAGTGCTCAAGCCCGAATCAAACCATTTAAATGCACGAAAGCCAGCGCATCTGTTCCTTTCAAGTCGAGGTCAACTAACACCGGAGCGAGTAGCTCTAGTGTTTTAAACTCATGAAAGGAATACAGGCAATGGAAACTGAATACTATAAAGCTTCAAGATTAAATACACGACACAGAGATAGGAACAATAACTAGAGTAACTGATGAGAAAGAACATGTTCAAATGGATCTGGGCAACGCAAAATTGTAGGCGGGAAACTTAAAAAGTAGAGGAAGGTCGCAAACGAGATCGTCGGAGGACTTTAAGCCGGAATTATCCAATTCTTTAATTCTTAATATGTGTCCCTAATTCTTAATTCTTAAAAAGTTCAATTTATTTAACATTGGTGTTTTTAAGGATTAAGAATTAGGAACAAAAATTAAGAATTAAGGAATTGGATAACCCCGGCCTTAAAAGACTAGCGGAATAGCGAGGGATATAACTGAGAGAGGCACTCACTCAACGATGAATAGAATAAGCTGAAGAAAAATAAAGATGAAACAAAATTATTTGTTCACTTCTTCTTAAAAGCGACCACTTACCTATAATATGAATGCAGAAGAAATACCACCAGACATTTTTTTTTATGAAAAACAATTAAAAGCCTGTGAAACACAAATGAATAAATTGAAGTAATCTTTTCTAAGATGAAATTTATATAAAAAAGCGGGATAAAAAAATTAAAGATATGGTCCAATATTTAACTGATGGCATTCTTTTCCAACAGCTATGTTACTAAAAGACGTTAATTTCCTTTAATTATGGTCAATAGTATGTGGAGTAAGTAAAAACTAAATCAAAGCAGGGATTTCATCTCAAAATGCGGAGCGCGCCTGGCGAGGTGAGAAAAGAATTAACTAAAAAAACAAACGAACTACATCTGTGAGCGGTTGCCCATATTTATTAGTAATTTATAAGCAAGAGACTATATACCTGGGACAACTGTTAACACGTGGCTTAAAAAAGTGGATCGAACCAAAAGATGCTTTGTTAAATACTTTCAATACATTTTAAACGATTTTTTTGTTTAAGAAGAAGCAAATCGACTTATTTTGAAAAACTTTCTACAACCTTCACAGTTAAAATGTAAGTAACTGCAACTCGGCAACATTGTCAAATTTGTGAAGGTCGGTATTAGCTGATTAAAGCGAGTTTTATAGCCCCGTCTGTTATTGCGATTTCGCAGCAGACTCCCTGGTTTGATTACAACTTTGTTGCGGGTACATATTTGGCTGATGGAAAAATAAATTGCCCTATAGCACCGCTATATGTATAGCTATTAACGTACATTTTCGTGGAATTACATAATTTCCAGTTTAATGGACCTAACAAAGTTTCAATTAGGAATATTAAAGTAAATAGTTAGTCGAAAGTGATTTAATTAGTTGAAATACATTCATGTGAAGTCTAGATTGTAGTTGGAATACTTCGTTCTAGCTTGCGTTGTTTATAATTTTATTTAGCTGGTTTAACGTATTGAAATTCTCGAGCGCGTTCCAACTCAAACGAGCCACCACGAATAACTTTTCTGTTTCCAAGGAATAATTATTGGAGAATAATTCTGGGAACCGCGTTGGACTTATACAATCACACCAAACTTGTAATAGGATAAAACTCGACAGGAATAGTATTTTTTGAGCAAAGTGAGAGCGAGTATATCTTGGTGAAACTGGTAAAACGAACATCATTAAACCCGACATTAATACTGGCAGCGTTCAACCAATCCGTTAATCGCCTAGAAGACTTCCCATGACCAAATAACAAGAAGTAGAGTCATTAGTAGACAGTATGCTTGGCTTGCAGAAGAAGTTGTCTAAGAGTTTTCATGTCCGTGGTCATCGCCAATTGTGCTAGTTACAAAGAAAGATGGATCTACCAGATTTTGCGTCGATTGCAGGAAGCTTAACGATGTCACTAAGAAAGACAGCTACCCATTACCCAGAACTGACGATACTCTTACGACAATGGCAGACTCAAATTGGTTTTATGCTTAAGATTTAAAAAACGGATACTGGCTGGTGAGCATTGACGAGAAAGACAAAGAGAAAACAGCGTTTTTCACTGGAAGTTGGCTTCACTAATTCAAGGTAATGACTTCTGGAATTTGTAACGCCCCCGCTACTTTTGAGAGGTTAATGGAAATCGTACTACGAGGACTTACATGGAAAGTATGCCTTGTCTACCTGGATGGTGTGTTAGTGATGGGAAAAACTTTCGATGAGCACCTACAAAACTCACAAAAGGAAGTATTCACTGGTATCCGTAAGCCAAACCTCCGATTAAATGACAAGAGAAATGTTCACTCTTCCAACAGCACGTTGATTTTTTTGGCCACGTACTTTCACTCGAAGGAATTCATAATGACAAGAGAAGCATCCAAGCAATTCGTGAATGGCCTTGACCTCGAGACAAGCATGAACTCAGAAGTTACCTTGGGCAACAAATTCAAGGGCCCAAAACACGATCTAAGGGACAAATGAAACAGGAAAACGTGTTGATACCTCTCGAACGAAGGGCAATAGACATAGCCGGTCCATTTCCTGCTACGCGGAGTGACAACAAATACATCTTGGTTGGATTATTTTAGCAAGTGACCTGAACTGACTTTTCCAAATCAAGAATCACCTACAGTTGCACAAGTCCTCGTCAATAATGTTTTTGCTAGGTTTGCCCAGGTTTGGAATCCCACTGGAACTTCATTCAGATCAAGGGCGGAATTTCGAGTCACGACTATTTCAAAAACTTTGCGAACTTCATTCACAAGACCAGAATCACGGCATTGCATCCACAATCCATGATGGCATGATTGAGCGATTCAACAAGATGATCAAGAAACATCTCTCCAAAGTATTTGACAAGCATCAGGACGAGGAATTACCTGAGCCAAAGTTTTGTGTAGAAGAGAGCTCCGCTTATCCTGTGAGTTGGTGTTCGGGTCACCAGATGTCGTCGACATGGAAACCTAGGATTATGCTGACGATCTGCGAAAAAGTCTGCTTGGCATCCATGACAACATTTAAGGAAGGACAGAGTTCGCAAGTGATCGAATGAAAACAAGAGATGATCTTAAGGCGAACTCTACAGGTTTCCAGGCGAATGACAAAGTTTGGCTCTATAACCCTCAAAAGAAGGAAGGTATATCTCCCAAGCTAACACCAGTATGGGAAGGCCCGTACACGATTATAAAGAGACTAAACGACGTGGTGTATCGAATCTAACGTGGCTCCAAAGGTAAGATGAAAGTGGTACATCTTGACAGGTTTATAGGAGAATAAATGGTCAGATCGATGGTCAGATCGGGACGATCTGATTTAGGAGGGAGTCAGTTTTACGAAAACGCATCGACATCGCGGCGCCCGGGTTCCAAGAAATTGAATTTAATCAATTGTTTACGTCGGGCTGTGCGTTTTTTCCTGGAATTCTCCTAAATTCGATTCGATGTTTTTCTAGCTAAATCCAGAGTGCAATTTCCACTGTATAAATAGAGCGTAGGAATAATTTAAGTCAGTTTTAATTCGACATTTGTCGTGTATGTTTCGATAAGTGATAAGTGAAGTTGTTACTGTTTGTGAAGTGAGTTTTAGTGAACTTGGAATCCATGACAGTCATTTGAAACTGTGATTAGAAATCAATCAACATTACAATCTAATCTAAAGTTCATTCTAAAGAGTGACTCTAGAGCGCACAGCATGCCCGCTGTAAATAGGGGCGATCACTCGATAGGAATTTGTCGACACGCGGTTCTCTAATAACTTTCCATTTAGAACAATCAGGAAAAATCGCGGCGAATAACTTCTTGTTTGCAGATTTCGTTTTAATTGACTGCTGCTGTGAGTGGGAAAAATTGATGGGTGAAATTTTTATAGCAATTTTCAAGTCAATGACTAATTACACTAGAATTTCCATTTTAATCTATTTCAGGAGTTTGTATTCTGACTTCCATAGAATTTTCCCCTGAATAGATATTTATAATGATAAATATTAATTTGACCTGAATGTGAATATTCATATCTGGAGAATTATTCTCAACTACCTCAGCAGTTTTTTCTTATCAATTACTCAGAAATGGTCAGTTCATAGAAAATGCCCCACTTTCATTATTATCATTGGATTAATAAAAGCCTTTGAAAAACATGCTTGAGACACATAAAAATAAAATCAATTTTGATTAACATAAATATGTCATTTTTTTGAAAGACAAGAAAATTTCATAATAAGGGGTTTCCAAAAAAGGAAAATAATATTTTACCACCAACATCTTAGCGCATACTCTCTTATGACGGCCTAATACGTTAAATAGTCGGAGAGGGCGAGGAGTGATGTTCAGACCACGGCCTCTCGGCCAGAATACGAATTGCCTCATTTTCTTAGCGTTCGATTCTGACGCGTTTTCCTTGGAACTTATTAAAACTTTGCACATCCCGCTGCTGTTGGCATAAGTCGCAATGCAAGTTTGCTTGTCTAGAACGATATCGAATTGCTTATTATATTCATTCAATTTACTTTTGTTTTGCATAAAAGAAAATATTTTATCAAATGGTTCACACAAAGTTGTGTTGTGACAATATTTGTGATAATAATATCATAAAAAATTATCGGCATTTCGGTGATCACAAGACCAAAAAATTTCCTCTATGTTCCTGCAAACCATATACCGGAACTTTTCTGAAATTTTTGTCAATTTCGCAGAAAATGTTTGCTACAGCTGTCTCATCATAATTTTGCATTCCAAAAATTATTTCCAATTCAATTAATTAGGAAATTTAATGATACCTAAGTGTCTTATGCCTTAATGAGCACTATTCTTACCTTAAACTTTCCAATGCTGGATGTGACACGGCGGCAGTCCTGACAATCAAAGTTTTACATTTTTGTTGAAGTTCTTTTAATTCCTCCTCGGCCAAAGACAATTTTTCCCTCATCAATAGCCTTGCTCTGGAGTCGGGGCTGAGACCCAACTCCAGCTGCCTGACCAATCTTTTGATGGCAGCCAAACGGTGTTGCCTCTCTCCAACTTCGTGTTCCGACCCTTCATCGGATATACCACTATCAGATAAGGAGCCCTCGGTGAAAAATTCTGGTAGACGATAACCCTGAAACAAAGGGGAGAAAAATAAGCATTTATTGAATCAAAATATACGTGACAAGTAGAAGAGAAATAGGAAAATATTCTTAAAAATATTTTGAAAGTCATGTAGAACAAGTAAGGAAGCAAAAGCAGCTAGACTGTATATTTGAAGCTTTTGCCAATCAGGCATCGGAGGCTGCTTAGTATGCGCCACGACGCTTTTCATTACCGTGGCTCTGGCGTTGGAACACTTCATCCCGTTTCAGAAATGCTGCGTTGCCGCTACTACTCCGTATACCTCGTTGATTGAAAATAATTGCTGATCTAACAGCTAACAAATTAAAAATTGAACACGTATATGGTTGTATAGAAACAGGTATTTAGTGAAATATTTACTATAATGGTGGAGCTTTATTGGAACTAAAACCATAAAAAATTGATAACATTAGACAAACAATAGGTAGGTTATCTACTAATTAGAAGTAGAACGATTTGGAATTATGCGAATACATGAATTTAAATTTTATTTAATTATAATATAGACACATTACGCAGTTGAAATTATTAAATATAAGAAAAAAGATGACACAATGAATGAGGAAATCGGTTGAATGCCATCAAAGATCTGACTGAGACCATTATCTTAAATCTTAAAGAGATTGAAAATTACTATCAAGAGCCAATTTAGGTACAGAAAAAAAGAGGCATAAAAAGTATTTGAACCAAAAACTATTTTCATAACGAGCCCAGGTAGCAGAAACTATAGCAGGTAAAAAAATAACTATCTTAAGCCCAAGCCAAGACGGCGTCAGCTTCCGGGAAAACGCGACGGTCCGATATACGAGGAGCGTAAATGCTGGCCACCATTTCCGGCATCGTTAATCGGCAACCGGACTTTGGCTTTCGAGTCACGTGTCTCGAAATGTTCTCCGGAATCAGCGTAAAAATACAAATTTAATATCGGATCGTAGAGGCCCGCTGCGCCTCCGGGGCTGGTCCGGGGAGCATAGTCAGATTATTACCAGCTATTTTCGCTCCCAAACCCGGTAGAAAACTAATATTTATGTACTTCCAGTGAAGTCCCCAGGATACTTACTGACTGGACCCGATATGTGGGTCGAAGGACAACGATGAATAAAATAAAACCTAGCACTGTGCGCTGTCCCCCTGGGCTATTACCACAGGGAATTTTCTCCCACATATTGTTTTTTTTTTTCATGACTGACAGTAATAATTTGTTATGATGAAATGATAATAATAAGAACACCTATTATAAAAATAGTATAAAGAGTCTCCTGAATGTGGAGGTTGATCTCAAAAGTTTACACTAGTAGGTAGTCGTAGGAAGTTTTGCTATGCTCTGTTTCCTTTTCGTTAGGAGTACAGGAAAATTTGCGACAATGTAAGGGCGTTCTTGATTCCAAAAACCAGGACTATAGTATTGAATGAAAATGATGTGGATACTTGTGCATCAGATGCCTCGAAGAAGTATCCGATATGTAGTTTTCATATGTGTCAATATGACAGGCATCAGTGAATCACGAATCTATAGACTTCTTAGCGAAAAAAAAAAAGTGATAACTGTGTAGGTTGCCTAAAAAATCGCCCGGAAGAAAACCAATGGAAGTTGATGAACTAGCAAGAAGTATAACGTTCATTATCAAACATTTGCCTCACTCTTGGTGTGTTTCCGTCGATGTGGAAAACTGAAAATATCGTTCCTGTCCCAAACGTATCGCGCCCTATCCAGCTGGCTGACTTTAGACCAATCAGTATATTGCCTATGATGTCGAAGATCCTTAAAAGAGTTGTCGCTGACCAACTTACAGCATTTCTTTCAAGTAATAACTTATTACCATCCACTCAGTCAGGATTCCGTGAACACCACAGTACATCGACTTTGTTACATATAACTGACGATATTTTTTCAGCATGGGACCATGGTCTTTGCACGTGTCTGATTTTAATGGACTTCAGTGAGGCATTTGATACTATAAAGCATGACGTTTTGCGGATGAAGCTTCAGTATTTTGGTTTTGGCGCAATGTCCTTGAATTATATTGGCAACTATTTTACTGATAGGTCTCAGAATGGTAATTGGCGGACAAGTCTTAGAGGTCACTCACCTTGATAGAGGTGCTGCTCAGGGAAGCATCTTGGGCCCCCTACTGTTCTCTTCATATACTCTCATCTTTGTTGAAATTCTGTCACAGTCACCAGAATGCGGATGACACCCAGTTATATTTTTCTTTTAAATTTGCAAATATCATAAACGCCATCAAATAAATCAACTCAGATCTCAAAACAATTATTGAAATGTCCAGAGCACATAAAATGTCCTTGAATGAGACACAACCCCAACTTGTGATATTCGGAAAGAATAGAGACATTGTGATAAGCCCTGAACTTAAGATTCAAATTAATAATGTTGTTTTAAAACCTTTGACTGCGTGCAAGAATTTGGGTCTCATTATCGACACTAACCTGAGATTTTCTGCTCATTTTTCCAGCTTAGTCCAAAAGACATTCGGTAAACTGCAGCTTCTATATATGCACGGGGAAAGTTTTAACACTGACTCGATGTTGAGATAGTGCGATTTCTTGTTGCTGTCTCATCTAGGTTACTGTGATGTAGTGTACTGGCCTTCCTTGACCCAAAGGGACAGACTGCCTGTCCGCGATATGCTTAAGGTGTCAGGGGGTCAATTCTTGAATATTCTCGGATACGTAAGTTGATTCGAATTCGAATAACAGCGACGTAAGTTGAATAGGAAACATTCGAAATCATATCAATTTTCGTATGCGAGGTAATTCAAGAATTGGGGGCCAGAGTATTTGACCATATATATCCATTTTTAATTTTATCTGGTTGGTTAAATTTGTGCGAAAGATTTTCTAGCCACATGTCAGCTTAACTTTAGAAAATCAATGAGCTTAACACCTCTAAGTATCTTGCCGAAAAATTGGTCAAACGATCAGACATACATGACAGACACACTCGTCAGTGTAGCACACTTTCCATAACCTGACATACTGAGAGCCTCTTCCAACGATCTTTCAGATTTAACGCGGTTCTTATTTTTAATTTCTTGCCTGATGAAGTCAGAACAGCTAGCTCTGTGGAGATGTTAGGGAGGGAGTTGAGGACGCTAGTGTTAGAGATCGAAAATAGTTTAGAATAAGTCATTTATGCTCTTTTCTATATATTATAGCGAAAACTTCTGGCCATTTACTGAAGTAATCCATGATAACTAAGATGTATTTGTTACCACGCTCTGACTCAGGGAATAGTCCGGCTACATCTATCGCTATTTTTTCAAATGGCAGACCGACGTTGTACTGTTTCATGGGCCCCCGAGATCTTAGTTTAGGGCCTTTACTGGTAGCACAGAGGTCGCATTTTTGACCTGAATTTCCGTCATGTATTTCTTCAATACATCTTCCACTCGGTCTTTTGGGATAACCAGTTGGCTCTTAGTGGATTTCCCATCGGCACTTTCCTAAACTCTTTTAAGTAAACCATTTTCTACGGCTAGAGAGTTCCACTGGGCCCACAACACCTTGTAATTCAAGCACTTGTTCGACACTTCCCTCCATTCTGGCCTACATTCATCATTTTCCTCATGATGTAGAAATTGCACGATGTCCTGGTCTGCTTCTTGATCTGCTCTCATTTGTTTGGTAGTCCATTTGTCATCAATGATCAGACCTGTTCTTCTCACAGCCGGACGAGTATTTTTCTCATGCATATCGATTCTTTGACAATGCTTGCAGTCTTCTTCGCATGGCCGTCTGGACAGAGCGTCAGCATTTTTATGCAGGTTTCCAGGTCGATGTTTAATTTGGAAATTGTATTGCTGCAATTTCTCAATCCATTTAGCAAGCTGTCCTTCAGGAGGTTTCATTTCTAAAAGCAATTTTAGAGCTGCGTGATCCGTTAGAATCTGAAACTTACGTCCGTAGAGATACTTATGGAAATGGTCGACTGCTTTTACTATGGCAAGCAACTCTCTTCTGGTGACACAATAATTTCGTTCTGGCTTTGATAAGGTTCTGCTGTAGTACTCTACGACATGCTCTTGTGAATTGCCAATATTTCCATTAAAATTTGACCACATCAAAATAAATTAGACACTATTGAAAAGAGCATTAAATTCTTTATGTATTGCTGCAATTTCTCAATCCATCTAGCAAGCTGTCCTTCAGGAGTTTTCATTTCTAAAAGCCATTTTAGAGCTGCGTGATCCATTCGAATCTGAAAGTTACGTCCGTAGAGATACTTATGGCAATGTTCGACTGCTTTTACTATGGCAAGCAACTCTCTTCTGGTGACACAATAATTTTATTCTGGCTTTGATAAGGTTCTGCTGTGGAACTCTACGACATGCTCTTGTGAATTCCCAATATTTCCATTAAAATTTGACCAAATCAAAATAAATTACAGACTATTGAAAAGAGCATTAAATACCTTATGTGTGCTAAATTGAGTTTATTAGCTCAAATACCTTTTGAACAAGTGAGCCTCAAATTAGAATTTCACTCAAAAACTTCAAACTCAATACAGGTTTTTTAAAGCCTAATAGGAGCTACATTTCCTGAAAATTTTAATTCAATATCTCTCATGGTTTCAACATATTGAAGCTGAAGATTTTCAAATAAGAATCCAAAAAGGGGTACTTAGGTACTCTTTAAAAAAATGGATTTTTTTTTCCAAATTTACCGAATTTTGACTTTTTCAAGCGAAAGAAAGGGTCTAAATTAGTCAAAAAAAAACAATTTAACACTATTTTCAAATGACCATTTTAAACAGAAAAAAATCAAAACAGTAAATCTCAATTTTAACAAAATCTTGACAAGGTTGAGAAAAATTGCCAATAATGACATTAAAATTCGAGCAAATCAAAATAAATTATACACCATTAAAAACAGCATCAAATTCTGCATAAATATGTGCTAAATTGAGTTTGATAGCGCTTTCTGAGCAATTGGCCGCACTGTTGTTGTAAATAAAAATAGGAGCTACCACCTAGATTGATAAGATTCAAATAAAAAAAATATAAATATAAATAAATCCTATATTATTACCTGATTTGTTGTTGATTCAGACAAAACTTTAGCGACGCCTCTGACACATATTGCGGTTTGGTCAGTAAACTGTCCGTTCGTTAACACGCTGTCCAAAAGGTGTAAGTTTTTTCCATCCTCTTTGAGATCTTTTTGCAGTTGCTCTAATCGAGATTGCAATAATAACCAAGCTGGCAGCAAATTTTCGATTTCACTCAGTTTTGTCGATGTTCTGGAAAAGACAAGACAAACGTTTATCAGCATGATCAACGATTTTGTAGAAAAAAATAAAATAATTTGATAGCCAATCGTCTTTAGTTCCAACTGGTTCTGCCAAACTTTTTTTGCAAATGCATGTTGTATTCAAAAAACCTTTGAAAACTGATGGTATTAGCCATCATATTTAATAAAATTTAAATAGCATGACTGCCAATTAATAGAGTACCACAATTGAGCAAGTATCCAGTTATTGGTAAAGGAGAATTTGTAGCCACTACGTGAAAGTTAATGAGTTAATTTTACAGAATAGCAGAGTTATCGTAGCTACTTTCTTGGAAGAGAAAGCTATTTTTAACAAAGGAAATATTGCCAATGCCATATTTATTGGCAGTCCGGTCCCATGGAACAGGAACAGTCATCTTGAATACTAATGGTCGTTTACGCATGATACCTACATATATCACGCCCGTACTATCTGGCCAACGTACTTTGAATGTCTTACTTTACCAAACACGTCCGAATCCGTGAGAGAACTTAATTGACGGCCTCATCGGAAAATGATTCCAGGTTGCCGTTATATTCATTCATACGATTCGTTTTTAGCATGTCAAAAGGATTGTATTCTTGGTAACTTTTGGCTACTACCTATTCATAAATCGTACTTTCTTACGTATCACACAAATTATTTTTTCAGGAATCAAATAATGACATTATTACATCAATCAACCAATAAAATGGCATTGGCATCAATTAACATAGAATGTGTTCATAGGTTTGATAAAAATTAATTTGAAAATGCATTGAATAAAAAAAGACGAGTCTTGAAAAGGTCGACCATTTACAAATATTATGATCGTGTGAAAAAAAGGAAAAGCAGACAATTTTATTGATGTGCCCACAAAATTTATTTTTATCCTGGTTACATTTTGGAATAAACATTACATAAAATTACATTGTAAAATAGATTTGAGGCGGCTTAAAAGTCTAAACACGTTACTTTTGGGTGCAGCTGCCGTCATACAGTCGGGAGTAATGGAAAGATGGCTCCATAGAATACTAATTGTCAAATTGCTTTATAGCTTTGTGTGTGTATGTCTGCTTGCCTCCTTATTTACATAAAAGACACCTATAATATTTTTTCAGTTTTCGAATTTTGTTTAGGTAAAGGTTTTTTTTTACGAAACGTATACAAATTAGACTGCCTAATTCATTTTCATTTTTAATTCGGCTACAAATAGTTCGAATTTTTGCAAATTTTGTTTGATATGTATATTTTGAAAGTTGGTTATCTTTAAAAATGTGAATATCATATTATTCTGATGCTTCATGAAGAAGTTTGACAAGAATAGTTTTATTTTGGTTCGAAACTTATAGCTTAAAAGAAAATTTTCTGAAAGCATAATTTGCATCGACTATTGGTAAGATTTTATATTAAATAAGCACTCATGGTTTTACACATCTCCAATTATTATTCATTTCTTATTTAATTTTTTTACGCAAAAAAACCCTATGACCCTAGAACTAATTACATACCTATAAGAATAGTGATATTTTCTAAAAAAAAGTAATTATCGAAAAATCTATCTTACCTAGTCTTCGCACTATCAAACATCTCATAAAGTTCAGAAATTTCAGCTTTCAATGTACATTTGCTAAAATCGTCAAAATCTTGATTTTCAAGTGTAAACCTATGGACAACTGTGTTCAGGTACGTCAACACCGCTAGTTGGTTTTTAATCAGGTCCAAAATTTTCTGAAACAAACAAAAAAACCATTTTATTTTAAACTAGCACTACATTCGGTTTAAGTATAAATTGCGAACTAGAGGCACCAAATTACAATTGAATCAGAGAAATAGGAAATAAAATGTTAAAAAGTTCGTTCTCTTTTTTAGCGCGAGTGTGAACCTTGAACAATAAAGGTGGGCCTCGCAAGAATTTTAATCAGATTCTATGGGCCCTGAATGCATGCATTCTATTGATCAAATCGGCAATAAAGGCACATCAACACAATAGAAAAAATAAAAAGGCATCACAACCGGATAAAACGAAAAGAAATCTGGGCATCACTCAAAGAATTTTTATGAGAATTTTATTATTTTATTTCGTAGACATCATATTATGACCATAAAGCTAGTAAGTTACAAACTCAATAAACTGCCCTTGATAAGATTGCTTCCCCTTTCCAAGTAAACAAAAATGGATTTAAAATGAACATACCCCGTGATTTTGGGGACAAGAATCTCTGAAATAAACCTAGGGCTGCGCCCGTGAGTGCGTCAATGCACCAAATTGGATTCGATTATTTTAGTTTGACAATTGTGGGGCCGCAAAACTACGTGTTTTGATTTTTTGAGTTTTTTTGGATTTTAAATCTGGTCACATGAGAAATATCATTTTCTATAAGAAATTTACTGTATTTTTTCTATGGGATTTCGGACATCCAAATAAACGGCAGGATGTCCAAAAACAAATTATATTTAAAAGGGTTAATTATTGTCGATGCTGCTTAATTTATTTTAGTTAGCTCTGGTACACTCTGCTTAACCTCACAAGGATTTTCCTACTGCGCTTCAAAAGAATCACTTTTCGTACCAATAAGCTGAGTTGAAACCAAAACTACGTACTTTTTGCCAATGACCACAATATTAAGATCCAAACAGTGGATTGCACTCTCTCCTTGGACCAAATGATTGTTTCCTCTGAGTTATCTGAAATCTTCAGTCTGTAGAAGTTATTTGGTTTGTATACCTTTATACTGCGAGTGAGAGGACGATCTTTACAATGAAAAATTTTCAAGTCAACCATTTTTGCCAAAACGGCTCATGCGCACACTTATTTTCATTAACAAAACTTTTCTCTATCTTCTCTAAAAGTATGTCGCTTTTTGGAACATCCTGTAGAGGTGATAATGTAGACTTGATCCAATTTTTTTTTCAAAACTCATAAATGTATGATAAGCATTCCATGCATAAGTATCTGGTTCTGGTTGCCCCAATATTGATTACTGCGGTTTATCTCAAATGCACGTGAAAACTTATTTTTATCCTCCGAATATCCAACAAGCAAAAGCCGAAACATTTAAGAGGGACTAACTTGATCGAAGGGCTCCCAGTCATAAAGTTTAGTAATTTATAAACATGCGGCAATATAAGTCCGCAGTAACCCGATGACCGGCTTGCCTGCTGCTACTCCATGAACTTGAACACTCCCGAGGGAATAACCGTACACTGACCAAACGATCAATGCAACTTCTCTCGTCAACATGTCTGCGAATTTTAAGTCCGTTTTGCATTTTTCATGGAGTGCCAGCCGGCTATAAACCGCTAAATTACTTCCATCTCCAAGAGCTATGGGAAATTTTAACCCTAAAGCCTTGCCGAGTTGTGATTATTAATAATAAAGCAGTTATCTATAATAGTTAGAACTTTATTGACACAGAACTAATCCTTTATGCACCTAGGACTGAAAATATTTTCAAGTATGGGGTAATTTGTTCGTTTTCTTCTCGTTCGAGGCAGCAGTGTTAACAACCAAGATCGGAAATTAGCTCCGAGAGCATAATTTATTCATTTGAATTGTTCGTTTTAGATTTTTTGTTGGATATCATAGATTAAATTATTGCATAAATAAATACAAATCAGTTCGAAGCAGTAAAATGTGTTCCGAATGACTTAATATTGGTTTGAAATTTGAAGTAAACAGATTTGGCATACTTTGTAAATTAAAAGTGGCAACATTTTTCCGAAAATGGATTAAAAATGCTGTGATTAAGTTGTGAAAGGGAATATTGCAATCCTTTGAAGATAAAATGTTGTATGTGATTCGGCTCCAAATATCGTTTTGTGATTCGCTCAATTATTGTAGGCAACTTAATAAATGTCAAAATGATAAAATGTCACTCCTATTCCTTATATTTTACAGGTTTTTAGAAAAAAATGCGAATGCGGAAAGTGCGCACTGATTGACAAATGAAAATCGCCATAAATAATAATAACAGAACTACTTGAAATACAGAAACCAGCAAAATAAATATAAAAATTTGTGATTCGTGAATAAATCTAACCTCAACGTCAGAACAAAAATAATTAGTTCGAAAATCGTCCCAACTACTCCCGACCACAGAGTATGAACTGAATGGATCAACATTGGGTAATTCTTGAACACTTGAACTGTCAAACATCCGAAATTATGAATAAATTATGCTCTTCAGAACTCGTTACACTGAACTTGGTTGTTGACGCTACCATCTAGCGAGAATAATACGCAAAATTAATTACAAGAACGTGATAGCGCTGATTGACACTGCTCTCTAGCGAGAAAAAATTTAACAAATTGCCCCATATATAATTTTTTTTTTATCTTATAGCGGTGCACGAGGCGATCCATGAGGCGTTCCATAATTTGAACTTTATTATCGTCAACACTCGACACAGAAGTGATCTATTATGTTTCTAGAACCAGAAAGATTTTCATGTATGGGGTAATTTGTTCGAGAGGTAGCAGCGTCAATCAGCGCTATCATGCTCTTGCAATTAATTTTGCGTTTTCTTCTCGCTAGATGGCAGCGCCAACGACCAAGTTCTCAAGAGCATAATTTATTTATAATTTGCACTAATTTGTTCGCAGGAACTATCGAATGTTGATCCAATCGGTTCATACTCTGTGTTCGGAAGTAGTTGAGTCGATTTTCGAACTACTAATTTTTGTTCTGACGTTGAAGTTAGATTTATTCACAACTCAGAAATTTCCATATTTATTTTGCTTGTTTCTGTATTCCAAGTAGTTCTGTTATTATTATTTAGAAAGGAAGTGCTCCGACCGGGCACCAGGGCCGTGGCGCCATCTATTAGGAATGAGTTATAGGAGTAACATTTTATCATTTTGACATTTAGTAACTGACAGAGAAGATTGAGAACGCATGCCTCCCATAAAAAAAAAATCATATGCAGCACCGCACACATGGTAGGAGTGAAACTTCTTGAAAACTATCCTCCCTCATACAACTTTTAGACTCAGCGCATGAGTCGGGGTAAAGACGAAGGGAAACGCGCATCTGTAGTGACGTCACAAGGGTATCGGCGCTTGACAATAATAGTTTATAATCCTTGGTTTGTGTTAATCGTTCGTCGGCTGTCTTTCTCTGTCACTCTATGTTACATCTTTCTTCGCTCTAGTGTAACGAAATTTGCCAAAATGTGACGTGTCCTTCAAATCACTCGCAATTCTTGTCCGTTGTCCAATAATTAATATCAGAATGCCGCCTAAGAAGTTTCACTTCAAAAAGCACAGGACATAAATGTATAAATAACGAATAAAATAATCACAAAACACAATGGCCGCGTTCACCAGAACCAAAATGGATTGTAAACAGTTTACAAATACCAACAAAATATGTTGGGCAAACTCTCGGTTCTGTGAATGCTTCAACTTTTCAAAATCAAAGAACATCACCCTCTGGATGTCATGCCACTACGCACTACACAAAATACAAAGTGTTGGAAATTATAAACACTTTTAGTTTATGCTTGCAAAAATGGTGACCGCGTTTGCAAAACATGTTTGGTTTCAACCAAGGTTGTTTGGGAGAGGTAAGTGGCCTGATAATTTTATGACGTCATCTAGGGTGCCTCAACATAATGCACCTCAAACACAAATTCAACGCAGCGTTCAGCCGAACAATCGTAAAGCGTTTACCCAGGTTCATTAACCAACGTTTGTATCTGGTGAACGTGACCAATGATAATAGTGTAACAGAAGGAAAGCGCGCATCTGTAGTGACGTCACAAGGGTATCGGCGCTTGACACTAATAGGCAATCCTCTTTGCGCTTATAATCCTTGATTGGTAGGAATCAATGGCTGTTTTTTCCATCTCTAATATCATTTTTGATAATATTTTAATAATTTTAATATACACATAACAATTCACGAATCACGGATATAATCAAAAAAATCACAGCACACAAATGTATAAATAACAAAATTTATCATTACACTATGATCATTGTATAATATACTAATTTTTTTCTTGTCACTTGTCACTTACTACTTTTTTTTATGGTAGGTATGCATTCTCAATCTTCTCTATCAGTGTTCATTAATGATTTTATGTACGTATTTCGTTTTTTTTTTTTTTGCATTCAGAATATTCATCTCAGTAAAGTTTTCTCTTGTAAGTACTTTTTAACGGGCCGAGAGCCTAAAAACTTGGTTTTGCATGAATAATAATAATTGTAGGGTTCGAAATGCCTTTGAATCTATGTATAGTAAGTCTCTTCGATCCACGTTCCCAGAAAAATATACTTTATAGACAAACTTGTTTGGAATGCAACTCTTTTTTTTTTGACGTGAAACTTCTTGGGCGGCAGTGTGATATTTGGGACGAGAATTATAGAGAGTGAAATTTTAAGGAAATGTCACGTTTGGCAAATTTCGTTACACGAGAGAGAAGAAAGATATAACATAGAGAGACGGAGGAAGATAGGCATATATTTGGGGTGTGCTGATACTTGACAATGACAGCCGACGAACGATTGACACAAACCAAGGATTATATAAGTGAAGAGGATTGCCTCTTATTGTTGAGCGCCGTTACCCTCGTGACGCCACTACAGATACGCGTCTCCCTTTTTTATGGTCCTTCGTCTTCAAGTCTTTATCCCGACTCATACGCTAAGTCTAGAAGTTGTATAAGGAAGGAGGAATGTTTTTAAGAAGTTTCATTCCTTAACACGCTGCAGATGATTTTTTTTA